AATTCCTTAACAGCATCCAAAAAAGACCATTTAAAATTATCTAAACTAGAATCTATATACTGCTGTCACCACATTAATTCACAAAAGTAATAATGAAAAATATCCTCCGGACTGTGGATAGCATTTCTTTCAAAAATCCCCTTTTATTACATTCCCGCATGCCTTCCATAGTGTTGATAAGAGTTCCGGTTTCAAAATCCTTAAATCTCACTGCGTAATTTACCAAGAAGCGAATGAAGCCATTTGATTTAAATCGTTTGCACACCAGTCGATCGGTGTTTTCTTTTCTAGTCACTTTAAAGTGTGCAGGAACTTCAGGTTAATCATACCACCAGCAGGTATTTTACAGTGTAAAGCACAAAATAAGAAATGTTCTTCCTAACCGTCATCCATACCTAAGTAAGCATTCACAAAGCCAAAATCGTCGCAATCATGCATTACAACTAGTCACGTCATAACATGTTTTCCATAACTTTTAACTACTCAGGTTACCAAAAATGAAACAACTTGGCGATAATCCAAGGGGTACCCTAAAATATAGACTAACCCTTTTATTCACTTATGTAATTTTCAATGTTAAAGGTGGAAATTTTGGGTGAATTCTGAATTTTTTGTTACTTTCTGACTATCCATAAACCTGAAAAAAAAGCTGCACAAAAGTATTGATGAGGCAATGCATTGTTTTGCCAAAATGTATTTATGTAGCAATCCATGTATGCTCATAGCATACATTGTTTGAGTACACGTGGATTTGTGCTTTTAAAGTTCAACATCATTTTTTCTATTGAGTAAATTTTGTTTTTGTCGGAACAAATTGTAATGGAACTGGGGAGTTTGCCATTTTTTTATTTTCATTATATGAAAGGTTATTTGAAATTTCAGCTATTTGGGGGGTGCTTGTGATTATAGCTGGACCACAGTGCCGAGTTTTCAGCATTTCTTTAACCTTTTTTAGTTAAATCAGATCACTGTGTATACAGTACAAAGTCTCTAATCCGGTCGTCCATTATCCGGAATGATCTATAATCCGGACCTCAAAGCCACAAACTTACGCATGTGCGTTTGATGCGTGCATCCGCTACGCGTGTACGTAAAGCCAGTAAAACGTTTACCCATGTGCGCTTCCGATAGTGAAGAAAGTAACAGAGAACGTTATTGAAAGCGAAAAAATTTCGATTGGCAAGTTAGTCGGTGTTCTCGACACAGCAATTACAGGACTTGAACAGTCGAACTTTGTAACTGAAGAAGAAATTGTCTGTTTATAGAATTAAAGAGAAAGTATTAGCACAAAACACGAAGCAACTTAAACAATGTACATTGATAGAAATATTTACTAAAGTAAACAAATAAATATTAAGCTTTTTTTTTTTTTTTTGTAAATTTTGATACCCTTTAGATCATGATTGCTCTTTATTTCATAAATTACGGTTTCATATTTTTAATTGGGCCCACCAGCGGCCGAGCGGTAAAGTCGCTGAGCACTGGTAGTTCGGTCTGAGGTTCGAATCCCGCGAACGGGCTGGCTGCATGGGTGTTTTCGTGGTTTTCCCCATGTGTAAGATGTATACGAGCCAGTTGCCCTTAGAAAGTCCTCCATGAAGGCATCCCTCCCCTTAGGCAGATAGCCCTAGTGTGCTTTGCCATAATTAAATACACCAACACCACCATATTTTTAATTGTATTATTTTTGTGTGCCATCTTACCAGATTTAAATTGATGATCTATAATCCAGAAAAACCTCTAATCCGGAATCAGCGAAGTCCGGATTACGGACTTTGTACTGTATAGGAAAAACTTTCTTATAGAAAAAGAAAAATATAAAAAAATAGGTTTGTTGGATGTACCATCAAAATAAATATAAAAATAGCTAAACAAACATTTCTTTTTCAAGTTACCTACCTGATAGCCAATGCTTTTCAGAGTGCCATTAAGTTTATGACTGTATGGTGGGGATGTGCATAATCAAGGTACCAATTATTTTTTTTGGGTATGGCAATATTTTGTGATAAAACAAAGTTGGGAATTAATGGTTTGTTGCTGTAAGATTCTATCAGTTTAAGTAGGTATTTTGAAAACTAGAGTAGATAATATGGTAGCTTTAGAATTATCTACTAGCTCATTAGTATATTATGCTTTTTAGTAAATAATAGTTTATTAAGCATTATAATGAAGTGTAACTTCTAAATATGTCCCTTTTGTGTGGAAACTAATTAATAAATTACGTGTGGGCATAAAAAATGCAGTTATATATTACACATACAGAATCCATCAGATATTGGTATTCTCATGAATGTACCATACAATTTATGGTGTCTGATAGCCAATCAGAATCGCTAAAGCATGTTTGACAATTGAGGAAGAGAAGTCCATTTTAAAGTGCTTCGAAATATTGATGAAGTTTCACATTTGGCAAAAGTGGAAGTATGCAACACAACCTCCAAAATGCTTGACAGTTACACGGCTACGTGATAAGTTTGAGACACATGGTAACATTTTGTATGTACACAAGGGACTGTCTGAAAGATGCTGAGCAGCTACAAATTTTGGTACTTCAGCTATGGTCGTAGAAAAGTTTCTGCAGTGTTATTACAGAAGTCTGCTATACAGTGTGCACATAAGATGTATTAGCAATACAAATCTGCAATGATTTCTGAAAAAAATAAAGTGCAAGTTTACTCTGGGTCACTGAATGCAGTTTTGTGAATGGTTTCAGCATATATGAACTGTCATAACTGAATTATAACAGTGAACTGTTACTGTCATAAAGTTTACTGGGCATAAATGAATTCACACATTTATGTCAACAAGATAATCATTCTACTTGGGATTAATGTTTGGTGTGGACTGTCATCGCAAGGTTTAACAGGACCCTTCTTTAAAGGTGCAGTTACTGGTAAAAGTTATCTGGAAGTGCAACGCATATCAGTTTACCACTATGCATGCACTTAAAATAGAGTGCATAGAAAAGGTGAGTGGTAGTGTGGAAATGGCACACCCCCACACTACCAGTGAGGTGTGTGAGCTTTCCTAGATGATAATCTGCTAGAACACTAGATAGGATGAAGAGAGCCATTTGAATTCTCACCAGATTTAGTACATCACCTAATACTTTTACCTTTGAGAACTCTTGAAGAACATTACATATTACAGAAACCAGCTGTGTTAGAGGTCTTTTGTCAAGGAATTGCAGCGGCATGCACGGCATACCCCTCCAACGTATTGACCAGCATTGTTCAAGCAAGTGCTCGCTGTTGTTCTTTGGGTCTAGCTCAGTGATTCTGAATCGTTTTTTGCCTCATGCACACATTTAACCATTGTTAGAGGATCATTTCCCTACTTCTTTTCCAAAACAATTGAACAAGAAAAGTATAGTAAACATTGATAAATACTAATACTTCAATAAAATTTGCTTTTTATATTCATAAACTAAAGCCAAATGTTTAATATAAATAAAAGGCAAAATGCATCCCCACTATGAAATTTCTCCCCAGCTGAGAACTCTTGGTCTGGCTACTAATGGCTGCCATTTGTAACTTCAATTATGGGAAGATAGTATTAAACCTAACCTGTGATAACTGTGTGATCATATTAACGTATAATTAAGTTTTATACTGCTACTTAAAGAGATGCTGTTGAAATAAAGAAATATATTGTCAGTACTTTGTCTTGATGAAATTATATAAAAAATAGGTGATGATATGGAGTTCAGCTTGAGTTGTTCATAATTTAAGAATGTGCAAAAGCAGTAGTTGGATTTACAAGTTGAAAATGAATATTAGTTGCAGTGTAATGTATTTTAGCAATCGAAAATTATCTAGGGTTAACTTTCGTACTCTGATAGTCAACCAACAAATGTACCTGTAATAAATGATATATGCCGCTCAGTTGGTATAGTGGTCAGGGAAGCTGACTGCGATGCCGAAGGGCCTGGGTTCAAATCCCGGAGAAGGCATGGTTGTAACTGTCCGTCCCTTCATATGAAAGGCGATGGTGGCCTACCTATCAGATGCCTCCATAATAAGAGAACCACACCTCCCGCTTGTATAGATTAGGACTGGGTTTACATTTGTATTGTTCACAATCTGCCATTGGAAAAAAAAAAAAAAAAATTTTTTTTTTTTTTTTTTTTAATAAATGATGTATACAAATGAACCAGAATTGTGCCAAGTCCTGTATGTAGCTAGGCATTTGTCAGTCTTTTTATGATGCCACTTTCCTAAGCTGAGAGAAGGAAGTTTCAAAATACGTTAGTTATTATTTGCTGTATTTTCCTTATTTTAGTTTTTTAAAGCAAATATGAAATATAGCTTAAAGAAATCATTGTAAGATTATAAAAATATTTAGTATTAAAAATACAATGGTACCTAGGTATACATCCTATTTGGATGCAAAATTTTTTATTTGAAATACCACTTAAGTTTGATGAATCATAGATGTAAATGCTGCCCTCGTTTACTTCATCGAATGGAAGTGAAAAAAAGAGATTGTTAAAAAGTGTAGATTGCGTGCATATCCGGGACCTTTTTGTTATTGTGTTCCATGTGCTGAGAACAGCAGTGTCTGTTATTGTGAAAAACAAAGGCATTATTAAACCAGGTAATGTTGCAAAGGGGGTCGATTACTAAACAAAGATTGGAAACATTAGAGCACGGGAAACTGCTTTTGATCTGGAGAACATAAAATATATATATATATATATGTACAGTATTTCACCCGCTGCATTTGTATTTTAATATTAAACAATGTTGTAATAACAAAAGCAAGATTTTTTTTATAAAATGGATTAATTATATTTCTTTAGTTTTTATTGGTTAATTAATTAAGTTTGTTTAGTATAAATCCAGGGATTTGAATGAATTAATGGGATTTATCATGGTATCACTGTTTCATTGCATGTTAATTAAATGTCCTAATATGTATGTTGCTTCAGAACAATTTTAAAATTAATTTTTTCTAAGGCTTTGAACCTTAATTAAAACATTTTGAAAACTGTTTTTTAGATACAATATATGATGAAGATGAAGTTTTGCTGGCACTTGCTGAACAATTGGGTACCTTCACACCTTTAGTAGGTGGTCCTGAATATGTACATTGTCTCTTGGTAAGTATTGCAGTTTCTGTAATATCTGAGATTTTTTTAAGATATTAAATTATAAAAGCTTTGTTGAATAAAAAATACAATGTTTATCTCACATAGTGTCTGCAGCATAATCAATGATTATTATTTTCATGTTTTCACCGTGGTCGGTAAAATACTGGCTATCATATTGTTGAACCCAGGTTAATTTCGGAGAAGGACTTCATGGTCTTTGTGGAATGGGTATATTTAAAACAGTTGGCGAACTGAAAATTCTGTTGAATGGGTTAGTGGTAGAGAAAGAGGGATTAGAAGGCCTTTGGATTAGGCCAGGGAATTCTTCTTCAAAATTGGGATGGAACTGGGCAAAGTAGTAATTTCATCTGTAAGGATCTGTTTACACCATGGTGTTTTGGTTTTAAGAGGTTTAAGCTGAGCTTCATTGCTAGACCTTGTTACATCACAAAAACTGTTTAAAGGATTTTGCCTGGATTTTTTAACTTTTCATCTTTATGCCAGTGTGGTACAAGAACTGACCAGTAACAGTGAAATCACTAACAAATTGACATTTGGTCTATGGTTTTGCTGAGGCATTTGTATGTTTACGCATCTGTAACTTTACCTTCCCTGATTGGCTATGGCTTACCCTGTCATATAGATGTGAACAGACTTAATGACATTTATGCTTGATTCATAGAAATTCTAGCATAAGGCACCTAGAGCCATTGTAAATGACAGAAGGAATCTTGCATGCCTCGCCAAGTAGATATTCATAGACTTGCGATGTTATTATCAGATAAGTCACAACCAGGGTTGTGGAGTCGGTAGGGAAAATGACCGACTCCAGCTCTGACTCCTGGAATTTAAGACTCCTTCATATATATATATATGTAAACATATACACATGTGTTACAACATATTTTTTAAATATAAAAGAAAATAATAGATGCTGAAGGGAAAAAATCATGGTATAGCAGATTATTTATATTAATTAGCATTTATTATGAAATGGAAAAATGGTATTAGTCATTTCTCAAAATTCAGCAAAATCTTCTTTGATAAAGGGCCATAAATCTCATTTGATCAGATCTGAGAATAGTCTTTGCGCACTAACTTCAGTAGGAGGAAGAGCTGTTACTTCTTTTAACTTTTCAGGGTAGATTTTTATATGTTCTAAAAGAGGTATCTTGTAAGAGTGATCATATTTCTCCAAGGGCTGTGTAGAAATCTTTTTTGTATTTTTTCATTTTTATATCCAAGGTCTCTTGGTTTTTTATTTTCATTCACTTTGCCTTTGCCTTAGCATTTTCAATATTATCCAAATGTTTCTCAAAATCTGATTCATCAATGGAAGATAGAGACTCAGTTGCAGTATCTGCAGTCGAATTGTCTTGATTTGAATAATCTAGTTGTTCTGAGAATTCCATTCTTAGTGGAAGTTCATAGACTGCTTTCTTTTGTCTTTTTAATTTGTTCGTTATTCAACAAAATTTGGCGTATCGGATGTACATAAAATGAACACAGCAAGATCTCTCATTGTCCAGCAAACTAGTTTCTCATTTCTTCATTGAGGAAATGATTCCTTCTGCAATAAGCCATCCTATTTTAGAAAGAACAAACACCATATTTTACCATTCTCGCAGAAACAAGCTTCCTGTTCTTCAGATTGTAGCTTTTTTTTGGCTATGTACTGTGTAGAAAGAAGAATTCCCAATTCTGCAAGGTCATTCCACGGTCTTCCTGTTGATGAAACATCATAGTTAGATCATAATTGCTCTTTATTTCATAAATTACAGTTTCATATTTTTATTTGTATAATTTCTTCATGCCATCTTACCAGATTTAAATTGATGATCTATAATCCGGAATCGCCGAAGCCCCGACGAGTCCAGATTACGGACTTTGTACTGTAGTTCATAAATAATAATAATGCAGTTTGTCATTATTATAATTTTTTTTTTTTTGTTGTTTTTTCAATTCACTTTAATTTTATTTCAAATTGAAACTGTCCAAAAAAAACTGTAGTCGGGGGTCGACTATTTTTAGCGACTCCAGCTCCGACTCCTTTTACCCCAAAATTTTTCTGACTCCACAGCCCTGGTCACAATAACATTTATCTCTAATAACAGTAGGCTTTAAATCTTTTATGCCACTTTTTATGTGGAGTTATATTTTGTTGTTTATTTTCATACAGTTTATAACGTACGAGTTAACAAAATTCAATTCTTCATCTCTATTTCAAATGTTTAACGTAATGCATCCTTATATTTTCTTTCTGTTTCTGCATAAAAATTAGGCACATATAACTAAGAAATAAAATTGTCGCTGCAGTTTTGTGAAACTCAAAACCAGCTTTAATAAAACATTGTTATTTGGGTGAAGGCAGCAGAAGTTGTAGTGTCTTACGTAGAAATATTAGTGCCTCATTTACAGGAGAGATGGGACCCAACTAATTTTTCTGTGCTTCCTGCATGAATCAATAGAAGCTAATGAGCTTGTTATGCATGAAAATTTCTAAAGACATCCAAACTGAAATCGAAGAAACTTCTCGAGAATCGCATGTACAGTGCATGAACTAAAGAAAATACCTGTTCTCGTATAAAACAAAATGGGTTTAATCCTAGTATATGGTACCATGGAGGTTAGAATCAAAGAATATGTATTGTAAAGAAGGAAAACCTCTCTGCAACAGACGTGGCTTCGTTCCATCATAAGGGGAAACAGCTGTGCATGTCTGATATACTTGTCGCCAAAGCTCGAAACCGGTGTCGAAGTTCGAAGGTCACTTTATCAAGAATTCGTAAAATGAATATCGTTTAAAATTTCTTTAACGACCTGCGCTAAAAAGATGTGCCACGCACGTCGAGCTGCTTTTGTATCAAACCGTGAGCGACGTGAACACCACTTTGATAAGCATTTATCGCAAAAATGAAAATAACGTGGTGCACATGTCGCCTAACAACGAGATTGTTTATTTCTCGAGTTACAGCTCTGGATTGCACTTGCAGATGCGGAGCGGCATAAATGAGACACTTTACCGCCCGCTTGTTATATTGTAGCGCACGGCACCCGCAACCGTGTGAAGTTTAGTCTTAGCGCAAGTGGTTAAACTTCTAAAGGAAAAGAAAATATTTTTTTGGTGCGTAAGTAAATTAATTAATGGATTATTTATTTTGAAGAGGGAAAATAAACTATGAAAATTCCGTTTTTAAATTATTGCGTGGATTATTCGCAATAATTTTAAAAAAGGATTTTCGTAGTTTGTTTCTTTTGTCAAAGAAGCGTTTTTTTCTTAACACAAGTTTCTCAATTTCCTGTACACATCGCGGAGAGGGAAATTCTGGCCGCATGGTTCCGCCGCCAAATCCCTTGGCAAATTTTTCCTCCGCATTCTAACGGCGTAATAACATTTTACTTGTATGGAACCTTTTCTTCTTTACATAGACATTCTTTGGTAAGAATAATAATGAGATTTGGCGACATCATGATGCGCAGTAAACAGGTCATTTTGCTCTTGGCGACAATTTTCAAAATCGTGCCAAAGCCTTACCGTATACAGTCAAAAGTCGTTAATTCGGAATGATCTATAATCCGGACCTCAAAACTAAAAACTTTCTGCGCATGCGCCGCGTTGACACATGCACATAGGCGTTTACGCGTGCGCGTAAGACCTTTTACGACTGCGCATATGAGTGTGCGCAAGTGCAGAATACGTTTTCGCGTGCGCGTTTTATGTATAATGGACGTATAAGCTAAAATTATCTAATTATCTATTTCAGTTAATGTTGATGATTGCGTTGTTCCTTAATTTTCGAATTGGATCCGGCTTATTATTTTTTGCAGACTGTAAGAGCAATTTTATAGCTTAAATTTTCGATTATGTCAAATAGAATTTACGATATATATTTGTTAATATGTAAAGGATCTAAAGCGAAAGTATGTTTTGAAATTCAAAATCTGTTTATCAATTTCACGCTGCCCGGCGGGGGGAACGCCGCGTGTAATGAATTGGAAGTTGATCTGTCAGCACTATCCTTATCTTCAGCGCAGATGTTTTTTATTTTATTTGGTTTATAATTCCTTACCAAATGTAGTATTTCATCTCGATGTGCTCCTTTGATATGATTTAAAACAACTTCCTCGTCATTATAATTCGCTTCCGATAGCGAAGAAAGTGACAGAGGTTATTGAAAACGAAAAAATTTCGATTGGCAAATTAGTCGGTGTTCTCGACACAGCAATTATAGGACTTTAACAGCGGAACTTTGTAACTGAACAAGAAATTATGTCTGTTTAGTAGAATTAAAGAGAAAGTATTATCACATGAAACGAAGCGACTTAACTTACATTGAAAGAAATGTTTAATAAAGTAAACAAATAAATATTAAGCTTTTTCTTTTTGCAGATTTTGATACCCTTTAGATCATAATTGTTCTTTATTTCATAAATTGAGCATCTTACGAGACTGCATGCCATCTTACGAGATTTAAACTGATGATCTATAATCCGGAAAAATCGATAATCCGGAATTGCCAAAGTCCCGACGAGTCCAGATTAACAACTTTTGACTGTACTAGAATTTTACCGCAAAATCTTTTTAAACCTTTTTTTTTTTCTTTTTAATAAATACCTTGCCATTTTGCAGTAAAATAAAAAAATAGTAATCAGTCATCTAGGCTAGCCATGTAATATAACTATATTCCCTAAAATATTGTTGATTATTCTAATTCAATTTTTAAGTAATTATTTTATGTTATTCATATAATTTAATGTTTGTTCTTCTCTCTAAATTTATTTATTAGTAGTAAATAATATTTCTAATTTCAGGAAATTTTCTCTGGCATAATCCTGAAATTAATTATAGCAGTATGATGACATACCATCACGAAATTTAATGCACATATTTTTTCCTTATGTATGCTGCGAATAATATAAAATACCTCAATTTAAAATAGATTTCTTTCTTCTGTTTAGCTGCAGAATGTCTGCAAAAAAAAAAAAAGCCTTATTTTATTCCAGATTGG